CTGTCACACTTCGACGCTCCCACGCATAACAAGACGTCAACACGGTGTGTGTGCACTGCCTGGCGTGTGCGCACATTCCAAACACGAAGAGAAGGGAACTGTCGACCTCTGCAGCTGAAACTAGACACATCGCACACGCACGCACACCTTGCCTTCTCTTGCTGCCCCTCTGCAATGGCCGTTTCTTTCTCCCCCCCCCCATCTTTTCTCGCTTCTCGGCTTTCCTTGCCCGCGTGTACATTTCTATTGATCCTTCTTTGCAGTTTGCGTTTTGGGTGTGGGAACGCTGATGTGACCGACTCTTTGGTTCCCGAGGTTGCACGCATGTTGTTGCGCAAGGCTCCTCGCAATACTGTGGAGCTGAACATGCGTTCACACGCCTCCAACTGATTGCAGCCGCCCCAATGGCGCAGTTTCCCTCTCTTTGAGACTGGCGATCGCTGCTGTTGTTATGTCTTCCGCTCACTTGCGCATTGTACATATGTTTTCACTGTAAAGGACACAACTGGCTTGCCTTGCGTCAAAGGGGCGTGGTAACATGGTGGTGTACACAGAAGAAGAGGGACAACAGTAGAGGAGGAAAACAGGAGACGGGAAATACAGGGGGAGGAGAGAATACAGGTAAATGAAGCAATGCCAAACAAATAGCGGCAATGCAAAGGCACAGGTCCGATACATCTGGTAACAGGCACACAGGCATGTGCATATCCAGTCTCTGCAGCGAGGCGGTTCACAACACCTTCTTTTTCTTCTTCTTCTTCTGCGACCGCTTCGATGACTTGGGCTGTGCGCCATAGGGCTTCACATGCCAGAGGGGCACAGATGCCGCAAAGCACAGCAGGGCAATGACAGGCATTGCCAGCAGCACGCAGTCCCAGCCACACGCCGTCTTCAGCAGAGACACAGGGTACCCGGCTGTGATGCCTCCCAACTATCGCATGGCAGCAGCAGCAGCAAAGAAGGGAGGGCGAGGACTTTGAGATGAGGCAAGCTGCGGGTGCCATACGTGCTGCTGGAGAGGAGAAGAAAGAGAAGAAAGAGAATACATACGTGTACGCACACACGTACAGTCTCACGCACACACGTCCAGTCACATGCAGGCACACAAACACATGCATGCAGACACAAACACACAAACACACACACACACACACACCTGCGCGCACAAGCCGACGATGCCTGCTGCAAAGCTGTCGAGGTGTGGTGGTGCCGTCTCCATGGCAAACAAACCAACAAGTGTCTGCGGGCCAAACAGGAACAGCCCGAGCGAAAAGAACACAGCACAGATGGCCTGTTGGAGCGACAACGGCGGCGGCGGCGGCGGTGGTGGTGGTGGTGGTGTGTGTTGGCACAATCACACCCGTTGTGGCATACAAGAGTGAGTGGAGTATCTCGAAGTGCATGTGGACATGGGCGTGGGATTACCACAGCGTCAGGTCGCAAACCATTCGGCAGGGCAAGGAAATGCCAGGGAAGGAAAGTTGGTGGCAAAGCTGCAGACAGGACAGTCCATGCACAGACACACACAGACACACACAGGCATACACACAGACACACAGACACACAGACACACGCACACACAGACACACGCACACACACACACACGCACACACACACGTACACACGTACACACACGCACACGCACCGCGTAAGAATGTGCAAAGCTGACGGCGGTGCACGAGAGGAGGAGCCCAAAGCTGCAGATGCCAAAAATGGGGCCGCGCCGGCCGCCAAACACCTGGCAGAGGAAAACAAAGCAAAGACGACTGTATGTTAGGCATTGTGGAGTGTGGTCCGTGCAACCAGAGAGCGATCGAACACATCACAGGACTGTGCATGTAGACTTCACACCAACGCAGCGACGCAACAGCACAACAACACAACAACACACCAACACAACGACGCAACGACGCAACATGGCAACACTGCACCTTGTCTGATGCAATGCCTGCAAGGAGGCCCCCGGTAATGCCGCCAATTTCAAACAGCGCCAAGACGGATGCGCCCCGCGCTGGGTCGAAGCCCCGCGTCTCGTGGAAGATGAGCAGCAGCCAGTTGCCGATGATGTCACGCACCTGGCGAGTCATGACGGACGAGTAAGCGTAGCCCGTGATGGCGATTGCCGTGAGTGCAAAACGCCAACCGGCCACTGTCAGCCAGCACGGTAGTCAACGCGTCACACACTCGAGTATGATGGCAAACGCAGGGGCTGACAGAGAGTGGAAGGCAGCACCAAAAAAAGGGGGTTCATCCCATGGTGTCAACGGCCACCACCTGACGACCATCTATCCATCCACACACACACACACACACACACACACACACACACACACACACACACACACACACACACACACACACACACACACACACACACACACACACACACACACATACATGCACACACACTCCCCGTACAGCGTAGATGAGCATGTTGGCTATGGTGATGAGGAAGATGGCGGATGGAAGCTGCGAAATGCCATTCCACCACGATGGCGTAGGCTTGTCTGCACCCTTGTGCTTGCTGGCGGTCGCCTTGTTTTGTGCTGGCTCTCGCGGCACCGTGTATGACGGGACAAGCGCGTCTGGCAAAGGGAACACGGTGAGCCGGGGGGGGGGGTTTGACAGAGGGAAAGGGATGGGAAACAAGGTGTGGGGTGGACGTCAGTAGTTTGCACAGGGACGGTTGAAAGACAACGTGCGAGGCAGTCAGACGGCAGGCAAACCAAGCAATCGATGGTGTGGAATGGGGAACAGACATGTGGCTGGGGGAGTGCGACTCACAGGCGAGGATGACGACTGGAAGGCAGAGAAGGGCGAGGACAAGGAAGGGGAAGCGCCATGTCGCGTCGGCTTCAGCATGCGGAAAGATGGGGAGGGGGAACTGAGCATTGCGCTCCTGGAACCACGTGTAAATGTGTGCGACAAGGATTGGGGTTAGCGCTGCGCCCACGTTCTGTGACGTGGACACGGCAGCCCACCAGAACGCCCTGTGTGTTTGCATGCGAGTGAGGTTGCCCGAACGTGTGAGGAAGTGAGAGAGAAGGAAGGAGCGAGGGAGGGAAGGAAGGAGGGAGAGAATGGAGTTTGTGCTGCCAGACAGACAGACAGGCAGATAGACAGGCAGATAGACAGGCAGGCAGATAGACAGGCAGGCAGATAGACAGACACAAACACACGCACACAGACACAGACACGCACACTCATTTACCTTTCGCGATCTGGAAAGAGGTCCTTGAGAAGGCGGGCGCATGCGGGCCAAGCGCTGGCCTGGCACATGCTGAAACCGGTATGAAGGACGGCATGCTGGTGAGACACAAAGCATGACGGCAGAAACCAAGGACGAGCACACGTCCATCACAAGTAGCACGCAGGGAGCAGTAGGATCGCAGCGACTCGGCATCAAGGACGCAGGCACCGTACCCGTGGAGAAACCACAAGATGTAGAAGATGTTGGCATTGGCGATGCACGTCACTGCGATCGTAAGGGCCGCAGAGATGAAGAGGGAGGCTGCGAGTGTGGTCCGGGCGCCTAGCTTGTCCGTGATCAAGCCGCCTGGAACACGCGACAGCCCGTACGCAAGCGCAAACGCCGATGTGATGGCACCAATCACAGTCTCCGGGAACCCTGCAGACTACAGCGAAAGCGCAACGGGCAGCGGTGATGGTGGACATGATGGTGATATGGGGAAGGGAAGCAAAGGAGGTATCAATCGTAACACAGAGACAGAGACAGAGACAGAGACAGAGACAGAGACAGAGACAGACACACACACACATAGACAGACACACACACACACACACACACACACACACACACACACAACAACAGACACACACAGACACACACAGACACCCATACCTCGCGCAGGTAGACTGTGCTTGAGCTGACAAGCTTGCGAAGGAAGTAGCACTGCGTGTATGCGACCCCTGCCACCGCAGCAGCGACAAAGCGCTTCGGGTGACCCTCAACCATCTGCTTTGCCGTAGCTTTTCCCGTCACCACGCTGCGATCTGACTCACTGAACAACAACTTCTTGTTTATGATGATGATGCAAACGAGAAACTCCTCCTCAAACACAACGCAACAACAACCATGACACATCCAAACACAACTGCCACGTCAGGCAGCATCAAGGACTTCGTCTTCCTGCTTGCGCTTTGGCTTTCTGGGATGTCGCACACGTGGCACAATCAAGCACACTTGCTTGCTTGCTAGCGTGACATGACACAACTGCTTCATGTCAGTTGTTAACGGAACCCAGTGGCGTACGCACGACGCTGGGCTGGACGAGCTTGCTTGGCCGTGGGGCGGCCTTGTCCTCGGTGCCTGCTGCGTCGGCATTCTCTTCGCACGATGAAGACGAAGAAGACAGGGAGACGTCCGCCTGTGCCGAGCTGTTAGCGTTGCCTGCATCGCTCATGCTGGCGCCGTTCGTCTCCTCAGCGCCATCGTCTTCATCAGACGACTGCGCCTCTGCGATGGACAGCAGCTCCGTAAACTCGCGCTTCAGCTCATCGTGGGGGCGGGTTGCTGCAAGCGCACGTGGATACGTGTACACCTGTGGTTGTCATGGGAAAGCGTGGGGAGGAGGGAAGAAGGAGAGAGAGAAAGAGTCGAAGTGGTGAATAGGGGAGATGAGTGTGATGACAAGTCTGCAGACACACAGACGCACACAGAGTCACGCACAGAGTCGCACACACAGAGTCACGCACAGAGTCGCACACACAGAGTCACACACAGACACACACAACCACACACAGACACACAGACACACAGACACACAGACACACAGACACACACAGACACAGACACGAAAAGCAACAACACCTGCTTGGCTGGGGTGGTGCCAGTTGGCATGTCCTTGCGAATTTCGTTGGAAATGATGCTGTCAACACCCTGCTGAAGATGATCGAGGGCTTGCGACGTCGTAGTTGTGAAGGACACGCACCCCTCCCCACTCGCAGCCAGTCCACGCGCATGTGTGTCTGCACCACGCGCCACCTCGTGCAACAAGTGCTCCACACCGTCACGTGTGTGGGCGCACTGCGTGACCGTGGCCGACACACTGCCCTGAACGCCCTCCGCAGCGTGTGTCTGTGCTGCGGCCAGCCGCTCCATGCTTTGCGCGCACGTGTCGCTGACAGCCATCTTTCCTTGCTGCGCCGCTGCGTCAGCGCTCTCCACATGGGCAGACACGCGCTGGCCAAGCGCTTGTTGCGCCGCCACCGCTTCCTCCTGGCGCTCCTCTGCAGTCACATGCCAGCAGCGCAGTGGTGAGGACCGCTGGGTGAGGAACACGCAAATGGAACCTCGCAAGTAAAGACAGTACAACCTCATGTACAAACGTGTCAAGCAGCACGTAAATGCGGCAAATGCAAATCCTGCACCCCCCCCCCACAAGTCAACACGCACTCACGCATACACGCACAGACACACAGACACGCACACACTCACTCTCTCGCACACATTGCGCTTCCATACCACGCACAACAAACTGACCGACTGCTGCCTGCGCCTGCTGGGCGGCGTGCTGTTGCTGCTGCTGGTGCTGCTCCAGCTGCGCGTTGAAGGTGGTGATGGCTTCACGCTGTTCTGCCACATCCTGCTGGAACTCGCCCCGTCGCTCGCCTGGAATCGCACCACAAAGCAGAGTGACATGAGTTTTCGTGCTGTTGGATGTGCGGTGGTGCGGGACCTGCAGATGTGTGCTGTTGTCATAGCACGGTACAGATTCACATCATCATGCAACGTGTGTCCATCCACCAAAGCAAGCAGCTGCAAGACTCACCGAGCGCGCTGGCAAACGTTTGCACGTCTCCAGCAATATCTGCTGCCACCTGCGTCTTGGCGCCAACGCGCGACACCAGCTGTTGCAGAATGGCGCCAATTTGATCCTTGACAGTCGCCACCTCCTCGGCCACCTCGGCCTCGAGGTTTGTGGCGTAACCGTGCATGCGCGCACCAATGCCGCTCACTTCCTGCTTTGCACTGTCAAGCGCAGCATCCAGCTTCGCGCCGTGGGCCTGCACCGGACATCACCATAAACAAGGAAGTGATGCGTGGTCGTGAGTGGGAGACGGGGTTAGCAGAGGAAGACGCAAGCGTTGCCTGATCATGCATCGGGCAGTGTAATGCTAAGCACACGACCACAACAAACCAACACACACACACACACACAATCACACACCCGCACACAATCACGCACACGACCACAACAAACCAACACACACACACACAATCACACACACAATCACACACACAATCACACACACACACACACACACAAACAGCAAACGCACAGCAAACAAACGCACGCATCGTAAGCAGCTAGCACTTGCAACGGTGGAAGTGTGCTTACCTGGAGGGACTGTTGCTGCTGCTCCGCGAAAGAGCGGGCGCAGTCGTGCACGCCAGCAAGCTGGCCAGACATGGTGGCAACAAACCGCGAGAACATCTCGTTTTGCTGGGCAACGAGATCCTGCAGCCGCTGCATCTCTGCACAACACACATACACAAGCAAACAGTTGTCCAAAGAGTGCATTAGGGAAGAACGGGCCGGTGCCAGCGTTGGTCAGCGAGGAAGGAAAGAACTCGAGTACACATTTTTTCTTATGCTCGCCCAAGCAATTGCAAGTACAAGCGTACAGCGCCAACATTCAGGCAGTATTACACACCTTGGGAGAAGTTCTCTGCAAATGCCTGGTTGGCTGTGGCCATGGTGTCAAAGTTGGCCTGAGCGGCTTCTGCGCAAGTACGAGCACTCTCTTCACCAGCGCGTGTCATGGACTGAAGGGCGTTTGCAGCTGTGGCCATCACATTTTCTTGCAGAGCCGTGGACATTTCATCCACTTGTTGCTTTGTTGCTTCGAGGCCTTGTTGTGTGGCAGAAGCAAACGCCTGAAAGTTGGACACCAGCTCTTGCATCTGGGTGCCGTGTGTGGCAGCGAATCTGTTTGCAGACGGACATCAAAACCCAACCATGAGCAGGTACAAATGCACGTCAGCAACAGCAATCCAAGCATCTTCAACACGCCTCAATCAATGCACGTCAAACACACACACACACACACGAACGCAATTTATGAAGACACGAGCACACAGTTACTTGGTCGTGTTGCAAGTACATACCCTTCAACGTCAGATTTGACAGAACCAAGAGCTCCATTCGTCTGCTCACGAAGTCTGCGCTCCATATCAAGTGCAGGTGTGTGTCGAAGAGCAATGAACTGCTTGTCAAATTGACACGCTTGTGCCAGGCGAAACAGTAACAGCACGTTTGTCTGTCTGCATCCGTGTCACGAGTAACACCGCAACGCACCAAAACGCACCAACACTCGCACATGTGTGTGTGTGTTTGTGAACAAGAGGCACGAGCTTGTATGCCCACTCACCGCGAGAGGACGGCTTCGTTGTGTGTCTCCACTGCTCTCTTGCGCTGCACCTTGGCGTGCAGGCCATCCACATGCCTGAAGGCAGGACATACAGGTGTGCGACAT